GGGGAGAGAAACTCAAGCAATGGGAGCCCCCTTCAGTCCAGAACTGGACAGACAGCGTGGGGATGGGACAAGCCGTGGTTGGTGAGTATGGGCAGATGCCTGCTTTCTGGTTTTGTCACTGGAAATGATGCACGGTGACGGGAGAGAGCAGTTTCACACATCTGTGAACATCTGGAATGAGGACACCCTGTGGTGACCGCTAAGTGAGGTTTTTTTGTTTTGTTTTTTTGGTACTGGGGATCGAACTCAGGACCTTGCACTTGTGAGGCAGGCGACGGAACCACTGAGCTAAATCCCCAGCCCTAAGTGAGTATTTTAGAGAAGTGCTTATCTACAGGCTCATGGAGCCGAAGGCTTCTGTGGCCACTCTACCTGTTAGGGGTTAGATCTAGACTGTCCCCAGAGACCCTGTGTGCTCTGAGGTGGGGCTTTTTTAAGGCGACTGGATCACGGGGTCTGTGATCATCAGCGGACTCATCCACGCACAGGTGAGTTCAGAGCTAAGTGTGCTGCTGGCGCCGGACCATCTGGAAGAAGCAGGTCAATGGGTCATGACCCGGAAGGGCTCATCTCCCTCCTCACTTCCTCCCTTCTCTCTCTGCCTCCTGGCTGCTGTGATGTGAGCCCTCTCCTCCACCAGGTCCTGCTGCCATTTGTTTCTGCCTTGGAGCCAGGTAACCATGGGCTGTAACTGAGCCAGAATACCCTCTCCTCTAAAGTGCCGGTGCCGGGAATTGTATCTCAGTGACAAGGAAGTGGATAGAGCAGTACCCTCAACAGATGGATGGATCAAGGAGATATATATGTGCAGAGTACTACTCAGCCCTGAGGAAGGATAAGTTTGAATCATTTGTAGGAAAATAGATGAATCTTGAAACCAGAATGCTAAGTGAAATAAGTCAGTTACAGAAGATTAAATATCAAATGATTTCTCTAATATGAAACCTAAACTATAGATAATATAAGGAGAAAAATAAAAGAGCCATGTTAAAAAGGAAACAAGGAAGTAGACTCTGGAGAGTGGGACGAGGATCTGGGGAAGAAGGAAAAAGGGAGGTGAGGAGACAGGGAGAGTAAAAATAACCAAGATGAGACATGTGTGATACCCCACAAGCTGAATGTATGTAATTACCATGTCCTGCAAACAGGTACTCAAAAATATTTTTAAAAATAAACAGAAGCAAAGACTTCTGGATCCACACAGCAAAGCCTCCAGGGCAGTGGAGCACCCCGAGGGCCAACGTAGTGACAGCAGGAACCAACATGGGACAGACCCAGGGGACCACTGAGGTCAGAGCCCACTGCCTCTGGGCCTTGGCTGAAACCTCACCAAGGGTAGACAGTGTGAGGAAGCAAGCCATGGAGGAAACTGAGACCCAGTAAAGTTAGCAGCAGGCGTAGAGCAAGGGTCCCTTGTCTCCCTGGAAGACACATGTACATGCACACACACATATACACGCATGCATGGATGCATACACATACATAGATACACATAAGCATACATGCACACATACACACACATACACACACATACATTCTCCTGCAACTCTGGACATTTCTGACCGTGAAGCCAGTGAGCAGAAACCAGGATCCCAGCTCAGGCCATGAAGGATCCCTTCAGTCTTCCACAAGCTGCTGGTCATTCATTTAATTGCCTGCTCTTCTCCAAATTCAGAGCCCCTTGGTGCCCAGCCGTTTGCTGCCCACAGGGGACACAGAATCAATGGCCTGCATCCTATAGAATGAGAGTTCACAGCCTTTGTGAGTCAGCTTGGTTACAGTCACAAAATACTTGAGAGAATAACTTTTGACAAGGGTTATTTGGCTCATAGCTCTAAAGGCTTCAGTCCATGGTGCGCTGGCCCTGAGCCTGTGGCCTGTGGTGAAGCAGCACATCATGGCGGAGCATGGGGCAGATCTACACCTCTCACCGCACAGCTGGGAATCCAAAGAGAAAGGAAGAAGGGGCTGGGCCCCAGTACCTCCTTCAAGGACCCTGATGACCTAACTTCCTCCCTCAAGGTCCCACCATCCCCAGTAGCACCAAGCTGGAGACCAAGCTTTCAACTCGTGGCCCTTTGGGGGACACTCCTGGTACAGACCACAACACAGCCCAGGCAGACCCCACGTGACCCCCCAGAGACCCCGTGAGAAGACCAGACGTAGGTCCACATCCTCAGAAGGAAACACCAGGCCTCAAGGTCTCTGAGGATAGCCTCACAGGAGGGGCACGGTTAGGAACACGGAGATTGAGGGAGGAGGCACAGCTGGAGCTGGGGTCACCACAGAGAAGCGTCATCTGGAAACAAGCCGTGGCCAGGGCAGGGTGAGGTCAGTGTCAGTGCCATGAGAGCCTTCTGGAGTATTCTGTCTCCTCCTCCTGGGGATGCAGTGGGGCTGCATTTTCTTTTCCATTAGGTGTGGCCTGTGACTGGCTTCGGCCGTGACATGTGAGCAGCAGTGACAAATGTCACTTCTCAGGGGGCAATGTGTTCCCTGCTGGTAGAGGCACTGCCCACCAGGAATCCTGGACAAGGACAAACGGGGGCGTATAAGGAACATGAAGCATTTTTAAGGAGGAAACCTTTACAGTGATGACCCAGTGAGGCTGAGTGAGGTTGTTACTGTGACACAGGCGGGCTGTCCTGACTCATCTGATCACCGATGCGGATGAAGGCCAGGGATGTAGCTCAGTGGCAAGCGCTTACAGAGCATGCACAAGGCCTGGGTTCCGCCTCCAGCACTGGGTGCGCATGGAGGGAGGGAAGCGGCATAGCGATGAGGTAAGGACAGGCCGCCATCGTGTGGGGCAGCACGGAGACAGACTCTGCAGCTCCTTCGCCTCCCTCAAGCCTGGTCCTGCAGATGGAGTTGCAGACAGAGACACTGCCATCACCGTGGAAGACAGATAGGCGAAGACATCAGCTGTTTCCATCTCCACTGCAGAAACTTCACTTGATTTCCCTGGAAGGGACCTGGGGAGCTCCCCTTCGTTCTCTTTATTGTGTTCGGAAGATCCCTTGTTCCCTCTGTGGAGCCTGCATTTATCCTGAGCTCTGTCTGCTCCACTGAGCAGCCATAAACCTGGAGCTGTCAGAAAGAGCATCTGCAGGGTAGAGAGTCCAGGCCGGAGTAAGGGCACAGACGGGGCACTGAGGACGGAGCCCCAGAGTGCAGCCAGCATCCTCCCCCCTCCCCGCCCCGGCAGGCTCTCTGGGGGCTCCAGAGTCCTTGAAACGGCTAAAGGTGGTAAAACCTGCCTCCTGAATCCAGGGACCATCTCAGCGAATCTAAGATACCATTGACTGTAAGGTATGCCTTCATGTACCACTAAGAAAGAAAAAACACTGCCAATTAAACCAAGACACAATGCTTTAGTATCACTTAGAATTTTTATTTTATATGTATTGAAAGGGCTCTCTCAGTCTTATTTAGACAGATTTTTATCATATATCACTATGCTATGCATAGAAAATGGAAAATATGAGCAAAATAAATTGGCCACGCTAACCTCAAACAGCTTCACATTCAGAGTTCCACTCCTGTGCATCTCCTTTCAACTGTGAGTCATTGATGTCTGGGTTTTCCACACAGTAGCCTGTTCCAGGGCCTTGGGAGCACAGGTGAGGGAGGAATCTTTTCTTAAAAGGATGTCTAGGATTGCCCCGGAGGCTGCATTTCAAGTAAACACTCACCAAGTTCTGATGCCGGTATTTTTTAAATCTTGCCAAAAGACACCAGGAGATGACAATGTCACACTACCAGGAGGCTAGTAACGGTGAGATGCCACTGATTATAAGGTGAACCCTGAATTTCCAAGTGTCACCATGGCGGGGGGTGCATCCTTAATCAATAAAACCTGTGTCTGCCTTTCCTGATTCCACATTCACTGCGGCAAAGAAGAGGCTATGGTCGGAAAGGCCTGAGTTCCAGCTAGCGATTCGATGTGTGAGTCAGCACGGGCTGGGGTCTGCTGCCCTAACAAACAATCCCCAGAACTCAGCGCTGGCTTGTCCTCGGCCGAGGTGCCACAGGTTGGGGCAACATAGCAAAGGCCCTGTTTCTCAGGACCCCTGCAAAGCCTCACCTGCACCCGCGCCGGGAGGAGAGAGAGGACAGACAGTCACAGACTGGATCTTCCCTGCTGCAGCCCGGACGTGAGGTCTGTCATTTCCTCCCACTCCTCACTGGCCCGCGCCGATCTGCAAGGGGCAGGAGAATGTACTTTCCTATGGACTCAGGAAGGGGAAGACTCAAAATACTGAGCCCAGTAGCATCGCCTGGCATGGTGATCTGGGGAGCAGCTGCTGAGCCTCCTGAAGGCCTCGATCCTGGACAACAGCAGGGCTGTGCACGCATATATATGCATATATATAATACAAACATATATATACATAACGTTGTGTACCTGTATATAGTTTTGAGCTAGGGTCTTGCTAAGTCACTACCTTGCCCATATATATGGAAACGCAGCTCAACACAAAGGCCCTGGGTTCCATCCCCAGTACAGCAAAAAAATAAAATAACTTCCCGGTACTGGCTGTCCACCTTAAGCTGACCCTTAGAAGAAAAAGACACCCAAGTCTGCGCCGATGGTAGTCGGGGGCTCCCCACCAAGCCCTCCCCATCCGTGTTCTGGTATCGGTTTCTACAGTTCCCCGCACGGCCCACACCCCGCGCTCACCAGGGCTCGTGCGTGGGCCCCGAGCGCGGGCCGGCGAGACCCTCGGCGTGCAGCGCCCACGCGGGGCGCCCGGAGACGCGGGGCTGGAGGCGGAACCACGATCCCGAGGGAGGGTGGGGTGGCAGGGAGAGGAGGAGGGGCGGGGAAGCGGCGCGTGGGTTCCGCGGGCGGGAAGACTGATGAATCCCCGGGAGCCAGAGGGGCGGGGCGGAGGGGCGCGAACTGTCACCGCGGGGTCGGGTCCTAGCTTCCCGCAGCTCCCGGGCGGGGACGGCGCAGACCCGGGCCGCCCCGGCCCCCGGCTGCCCCTGGCGGCGGCGCGCGGCACTGCAGCTGAGGACCCCCGCGTTCCCTAGCAACGCCCCAAACCTGCGGAGGCGACTCCTGCACCCGCCGGGCCCACGCTGGGGGTAGGCGAGGGGAGACGCGCCTCGCCGGGCTTCTTCCTGAACAGGGTTTCTCTCCTTCCTCCGTGAAAAAGGATCCCGAGGTGGAGGTGGGGAAGGAAATGGTTTAAGTTAATTTAAACTGTGTCCGCCGCGGGCAGCAATCCAAGAAAGCCTTTTCTTTTCTTTTTTTTCCCTTGAGTCACGGTGGAGGAACTCAGAAGCTCTTTGCTGCAGCCCAGTGGCCGCCGGCGGAACCTGACGGGGCTCGGAGGCCCGGGCGGGACAGGGCCAGGCCGTGAGCGTGCCCTTTATCCCCCACAGCCGTGAGTTTGGGGGCATCTGTCCCCCTTCGCAGGTAGAGAGCTGAGGCCCAGAACGGCCAGCAAGTGGCAGTGCCGGGGTTAGAGCCATGAAGGCCGCTGCAGAGCTCATAGCCCCAGAGCTTCACCCTCTCGCCAGCAGTGCACGCTGCGGTGCTCTCATCCTGCGCCCAAAGACGTGGGATACTGTCCAGTGTTCCCCAAAAGGCGTGTTGTGTTGAGAGCCTGGCTGCTGATGAGATTTGGGAAGTAGCTGAGTCCGGAGGCTCTAGCTCCGTCACTGGATTGATTTATTGATGAAGTGTAATTTGATGGCATCATTGGGCTGTGATGGAAGCAGGAGGTGGAGAGTTGAAGGGAGCAGGTCGTGGGGGGTGTGACTTGGGGGCTCCACTAGGTTCCCTTCCTCTGGAGGGCTCCCCCCCCCACTTCCTGGGCACCATGAGGTGAGCAGCTTTCTCCTCCACAGACTCCCCACTATGATGTTCCCCAGTGACCACAGACTGAGCCCTCTGAAACCGTGAGCCAAAACAAGTCTTCCCTCCCTTAACTTGTTTCTCCTGGGTGTTCACAGTGAAGCAAATCTGGCTAACACAGGTTCCCAGAGGTTTTTCCAAGGCTGCTCATGTCCAGTCTGCAGCCTGGAGCCCCCACCCCAGCCTCCCACCTGGAACTCTCCTGTGGACTGCAGAGACCTCACACGGAGCTGCTGGGGGTGTCGGGAGCCAGGCTCCAAAGAGGTCCCTGGTGGCAATGCCTGCAGTGTCCCTGATGACCCTGGCTGTGTGCAGGGCCCCGGGGCCCAGGGGACTCAGGCCAAGCCCACAGGATGCTGCCTGCCTGGGGCCCAGCCGCATCTCAGAGAAAGTGCTCGCCGGGGGTCTCCTTGAAGGCACTCGGGCTTGATACTGGCTGTACTGAGCCCTAGCTCTGCTCAGGCATTTGTGTCAATCATCCCCATCAATCTTTGCTGTAGGCCTTGAAGATATATTACTAACCCATTTCACGGATGTGAAAAACAAAGTCACATCTCTACTGATGGAGAAACACGATTTGAACAGAGTTTGGTTCCAACACCCTGGGTCTAACCGCTCCACTCTATAGTCTGCCGCCTAGCAGGCCTAACACTCAGTAGGATGTTTCAAGGAAAAGGAAAGGGCAGGTCTGTGACCTTGAACATGGCACTTCCTGTCTCTGAGCCTCTGGTCTGCAGAATGAAGGCCAAGCAGCTGCCTACCTGGGCCGAACTGTTTGCATGGGAGATGAGAGGAGATAATGAGCGTAACTTGCCCATCCAGCAAAAGCTGGGAACTCAGGACTGGGTTGTTGAATTAAAGAATGGATAAATAAGGAGGCTTATCAGTTAGCCCTTTCCTGTCCCCACATCATCTAACGATCGAAGAGAGTAAAAACTGAAAAGTCTGCTGGGCTCCTCCTCTGCTCACAGCCCCACATGGCCCAGATGACCAAGCCCTCACCTCGCACCTCAGCAGCCTCAAAACCACTCGGCAGCTTTGGGAAGCACACCTAACCCTGCCCCTCACAGCAGATGCTGGTGATGCACTCACAGCTGTGTCCAGAGCCTGGAGGCTGTGCGAGCAGCAGCTCGTGACTGAGGCCCAAGGCCAGCGTCCCCACCTTGTCCTTGTGCACCCACCGTTCTTGGATCCCACAGACAGGAGTGCGGATCCCGTACACAGTGGCTGTGCAACCTGGAATGGATGGCTTAACCCCTCTGGTTCCCGAGTCCTTCACCTATAAAGAAGACAGCTGCCACATAAGATTGCCCTACGTAAGGGTCTGGTTCCAGTTCCTTTCCCTGCAAGGCAGCAGGTCCAGAGACAGGTCCAGAGGGCAAGGCCTCCCGCACACATGGCCATGGGCTTCCTGAGCTCTGACAGGGGCTGAGATCACGGCATCCTTTGTCCCATGGCTCTACCCCATCCTGTGTTCCATCCTCCAGCAATTCTTGTCCATTTCATCCCAAAATTTAGCCTCTAGCTCCCGACTTCCTCTCCATTCTCACTGCCTCTTCCCTGGCCCAAGCCACTACTGCCCCCAGCCTGCAGACCACCATGCTTCCAACCTGTCACTCAGCTTCTGCCACTAAATGCCTGAAGGAGGAGTCAACTTAAGAAGGGGGAAGGTTTACTTGCCCACAGTTTGAGAGGCCTCAGTCCATGGTCACGTGACCCCCTTGCTTTGTTGCCGTAGCAGCACAGTACATCATGGAGGTGGCTGGTCACCTACCTCGTGGTGATCAGGAAGCAAAGAAAGAGAAAGGGGCTGGGCTCTCCAAATCCTCCCCAAGGGCTCACCCAAAGGACCTAAGCTCCTCCCACTTGGCCCCACCTGCTAAAGGCGCCAACACCTCCCAACACCTCCAGTGCCACAGGCCGAAACCACGCCTTTAACACCTTTATGGCCTCAGGAGACATTCAGGCTGCAAACCCTACCAATACCCACTCTAGTCCCAGAGGCAGCCAGGGAAGTAAGTGCAATTCCAGCTCAGATCACTCCCCAGCTGCCAACCTCCAGAGAATAAAGTGCACACTCTACTCCACCTGTGCTGAACGGTCTCTCTGTGTCCCTTGCCACCTTCCTTATGCCATCGGTGCAGACTAACCTTGTCTAGAGGTTGGCCCATAGCAACTACACCAACCTTGGCCCTCTGCCTTCTACCCTGTGCCCTTTGCCCTTTGCCCTCTGGGTGCATTTGATCAATAGGTGCAGGTAAGAGGAGAGAGAGTGGAGGATGACTCCCCCACCTTCCTCTCCGTGTGGCTGGGGGTGGCAGTGGCCAGGTCCCTCTGATGAAAGCTGCAGGCATCTCCTACAGCTACCACTCTTGTTCCTCCCTGGCTCCTTCAGGATGAAGGCTGGTAACCCCAGTGTTAACCTCTGCAGAACTTAGAGGCAACATCAAGTTAAAAGGTACAATTCTAAATCTATTTTTCCCACCACCCACAAGAATAGGCTCGAATTAAAAGTTGTGATGAGCGGAATGAATGAAGAGAGTGATACCTTACACCCTGAGTGTTGAAGGGAGTCATTTCCACCTCGTGGCACATCACCAGGACCCTCCATAGCCAGGTGTCTTCCTCGCAACTTGGACGAGCCCACTTGGAGAGGAGAAGCCTCTGCGAGACTGTCCTAGCTGGGCAAGGTGGCACAGGCCTGTGAGCCCAGCACTCAGGAGGCAGAGTGAGGCAGGAGGATTGCCACAGGTTCAAGGCCAGTCTGGGCGACATAGCAAGATCCTGCCAAAAAAAAAAAAAAGTGAAAGAAGCTGTCCTGGGTCAGGGACAGAAATTCTGCAGGACCTTAGGTGGGAAAGGGTGAAGATGGCCAGGCACGGAAATGATATCTGATTAATCACAAGATGAAGCCCCTCACGGATGGGAGGGGGTGAGTTTCCTCTCCCCACAGTTATTCGAGTGACGCCGCTGCCATCAGAGGTGTGGAGAGGTGACTCCCAGCTGAAGAGAGCTTGTGCAGAATGACAAAGACCCCTTTGAAGTTTAATGGGCTCTAACTTTGCAAACAGAGCCAGGAGTAATGGTGGGCGAACAGAGTCTGGGAATGAGTTAGTTGAATGCATGGAGAAGGAAGAAGAGGTGGAAGAGGAATTGAAGAAGGAGAAGGAGGAAAAGAAAACAAGGGACCCAAATGTAAGGTGATTCTGAGATTCAGTCTTGACAGAGCTCTTCTTCAGAGGCAATGCAGATGCTCCTCGCCCACAGACAGCTCAAAATGTAGTATCCCAAGTTGGAGATGCACTTAGTACACCAGACCTCCCAAATCTCACCACGTAAGCCTCGCCTGCCTTAAAAGTGCTCAGCACACTTACAATAGCCTACAGGAGGGCGGGATCATCTAACTCGAAGCTGATTGGGCAATAAAGTGCTGGATATCTCATGTACATACGCAGGTGGGCATTTTGGAGATTTGCTGGGATTTGGAAAACCACAGCACAATCCACGCAGGTGGGCATTTTGGAGATTTGCTGGGATTTGGAAAACCACAGCACAATCCACCCCGACAACGTGGTGCACAGGTGAGACCACACAGCTGACTGGGAGCTGCCCAACTTCCCACCAGAGTATCACACCCCACAGCACCAGCCAGGAAGAGATCAAAATGTAAAATTTGACACGCAGTTTCTGCTGAATGCATCTCACTTGCATACCATGGTAAAGGTGAAAAACTGTAAGCCAAGTCATCTTAAGTTGGGAGCCATTCTCTTTCCCCCATTTTGGGCCACATATGCACATATCCAGCTGAAGCGAAGCCACAGTAACAGATGAGCCCTGGAATCTCAGAGCTTTGACACAATACGTTCATTTCTCACTTGTGCAAAGCCTGGATGTCACTGGCCTTGTGTCTGGCAAGCAAGAGGGACATGGAGGAAGTATATCGGCACTCAACTGCCACAGGCCCAAGTGACACACAGCACTCCACCCATCAGCTGTTATCTGAGATGAGTCCCATGACCCCAACCACCAGTAAAGAAAGCCAAGGAATGTAGAGAAGTGTGTGGGTATTTGGAGAACATTAATGTTTTTCTACCACAGACAAAGACCCATAATGGAACGCAAAGTAATTTTAGATGGTACGCTAGATAATTTTTGGTAAAGATGGATAGAGTGTTAAATAACATTGAGTCACATACTGAAAAAGCTATCCTCAGGTCACTGACTTCAGAAGCCTCGTAGTAATGAGGAAGTCTCAGCCTGGTGATAATGTCTCTAACACCTCCCAGACATGCTGGCATTGCTCATCAACTTTATCAATGAATGAAGAGCTGGCCTCAGATCCAGAGCTCTCACGAGAGATAAAGAGTATCTTGCTAAGTTTGCAAAACACTATTTGTTCAGACACTGTTTTCAATATTACCTCCAATTTGTGGCAGGTGATGATACCAGTTTTATATGTAGAATGCTAGAGTTTTCTTTTAAATACAGTTTTTTAAAACTTGAGTCTACTTTGAGAGACCTATTAATAATAGAAACCTTAAATGTGTTCCGAAGGCATGTGTGTTGAAGGCTGGGTTCCAGGGTCATGGCACTACTGGGAAGTGTAAGAGCCTGTAAAAGGTGGGGCCCAGTGGCAGGAAGTTAGATAACTTGGAGGGAGTGCTGGGACCTGGGCCCACTTCTCTCTTCCCTTATTCTTCCTCCTCCCCTCTCCCTCCGCCTCCCTTTCTCTCTGCTTCTTGGCTGCCAGGAGGAGACCAGCTTCCCTCTCCACATGCTCCCAGCATGATCCACTGCCCTACCACAGTACTGAAAGCAACACAACCAACTATTCTTGGACTAAAGCCTCCAAAACTATGATTTAAAATAAAGCTTTCCTCCTTTGAAGTTCATTGTCTCAGGTAATTTATCACAGCAATAGAAGGTTAACACAAGATTTACATGAATGCCACAAAAACATGAAAAGTGGAGTGTGAAGGACGGAAGTTTAGGAAATTCTACTCCAAGTCAAACTCCCTAACACTTGCATTGGGATTTTTGTTTGTTTGTTTGAGATTTAATTGATATAAAATAATATATAATATATTCAAAGTATATAATTTGATGATTTGATATACATGTTCATTACATTATTAACATCTACCCCACCCATGTGGTACTTTAGATCCTGAAAACTGGCTCATCTTATGACTTATACTTTCCCATTGCTAGGACAAAATATCCAACACTCACAACTTAAAAGAGGAGAGGTTTAAATTGGCTCAGGGTTTTTAGAAGATTCAGTCCATAGTCAGCTGGCTCCAAGGCAGGAAGGATCTGGCGGAGGAAAGCTGCTCACGTCATGGTGGCCAGGAAGCACAGAGAAAGGGGAGCAGTCAGGGAAAGAGATACAGTATCCCCTTCCAGGGAACCCCAGTGACCTGCCACTTCTGACCAGGACCTGCCTCCTAACAGCACATTTAGCTATGGGATTCATACTCAGCACTGATGTGTACAGCACCCCCATGTTTCAATCCCTTTCAAAAGTCACACCTCGGGGCCAGGGATTTAGCTCACTGGTTCCACCACCTGCAAAGTCCAGAGTTCGATCCCCGCTACCAAAAAAAAAAGTCACACCTCTGAACATATGAAATTTTTGGAGAATATTCTCAACCTAAACCATAACACTCTTCTCCTGGCTCCCAAAAGACTCATGTCCATCTCACTATGCAAAATGCATTTAGTCCATGTCTAAGAGTAATAAAGCTTTTAACATTGCTGAAAAGTCCTAGTCCAAAGTCTCCTCAGACTCAAGGCAAATTCTTAGCTCTGAGCCCTGTAAAAATCAAGAAGAAGAAGGGGAAGAGAAGGGGAAGGGGAAAGGGAAAGGGAAGGAGAGAGAGAGGAAGAAGAAGGCAGGAAGGCAGGAAGGAAAGGAGGGAGGAAGGAAGGGAGGGAAGAAAGAGAAAAGGAATACTGCAGACATACAATGGCACAGAGTAAACATTCCCATTTCAAAAGAACAAAATTATGGGATAGAAAGGAATGAGACCAAACCAAGACTGAAACCTGGAAGAGTAAACGTCAGATCCTGTAGCTCCATGTCCAGCACCTTGGGCAAGTTGTGGTGAAGTGGGAGTTCCAGATGGCTAGGGAACCCCTGTCACTGTGGCATTACTGGCTGCAGACCTCACAACCTCTCTCTTGGGCTGGCTTTGCTCACTATCTTTTGGCCTTCCTCAGCAGATGCTCCATGTGCCTGGCCTCGCCAACTTCGTGACGTCTCCACTGCACTTTTGGCTTCACTCTCACAGCTTCACCCACTGCCCTCTCAGGGATACATTACCTGGCTTCCCAAGCCTTCTTCTGAAATCTAGGGGGAATCCTCCATAACCCTGTAACTCTTATGCTCAGCATGCCTGAAATACCAGCACCACCATGTAAATGATGCCAAAGTCTATCACCAGCTCAAGCAGTATCCAGGACCCCTTTGATCATGGCTGCAGTAGCTTCTGAGTCCCTAAATGGCTAAACATAGGGAAACATTTCCCTCTGCAGCCCTGAAAGAGCAGAATACTATGGGGCTCTCATTTCAGATGAAAGCCTTGTAGTTCTGTACCTTTGATTCTATGAAGAGCAGGGTCATCCTGATTCTTGAGAGGCCCTTAAGGTATCCTTCCTATTCTCCTGATATAAAGTACTTGGCTTTTTAATGCTGATCTTTTCAGCAACCATATTCTCCATCTCCAACTTTGCAGGCACTTCCCTTCTGAAGAAACTGTAGACTTTTCACAACTACTTTTTGTCCCTGTCTGTTACTGTAGATCCAGCTAAAACCTGCCAGAGTACCCATGCCACAGCCTGAACATTGGCCTGCCTTAAAATTTTCTCCTCCAGATTAATTAGTCCACCAATCTTAGTCTCCTGCAGTCTGAGAACATTAGCAAAATATAGACAAATATCAGTGAATATAACACATGTGGCCTGTAGCCCAACTGCCAATAGAGTTCTTGTTCCCAACTGAAACCTTCTGAGTATAATCTTTTCTGTACATATTCCTGTCAAGGTTCTCATCTTCTGAGCTCTGACAAGAATCTCCCCTCAAGCTCATTGTATACCATTCTAGGGCTTTTCCAGCTGGTACCTCCAAACCTTTCCAAACTCCTCCTGTGCACCAGTTCCAAAGGCTTCTAAATCACATGGTCAGGTATAACTATGGCAATGTCTCCACTTTCAATCCCTAAATCTGTCTTAGTCACTCTTCCATCACTGGGACTAATACCAAACACCCACAACTTAAAGGAGGAGAGATTTATTTTGGCTCAGTTTTTAGAGGATTCAGTCTCTAGTAAGCTAGCTCCAAGGAAGGAAGGGCATGGAGGAGGATCTGGTGGAGGAAAGCCGTTTGTGTCATGGTGGCCAGGAAGAAGGAGCCAGGGAGGGAGATGCACCCTTCCAAGACACGCCTCCAGTGACTGCCTCTTCTGACCAGGCCCCGCCTCCTAACACCACATTTAACTATGAATTCACCAGTGGATTAAGCCATTGAAGAGTATAGTGCCCCTATGATCCAATTATCTCCCAAATGCCCCATCTCTGAACACATGAAGCTTGGGGAGACATTTTATAACTGAACATCTTTATGCTTGGACCAATATTTCCCCATGTTTCCCACACCACAGGCTCTGGTATCCATTTCCATATACTCTACCTCTTTAGATTCCACATAAAATTGGGATCATACAGTGTTTGTCTTTGTGTACCTAGGTTATTTCACTTAACATAGTGTCCTCTAAGTTTATCCATGTTGTCTCAAATGACAGGATTTCCTTCTTCTTTATGGCAGAATAATATTTATTACATGTGTATAAAGTATATGTGTATCACATGTGCATACCACAGACATATATGTGTATATACTAATTTGTGTATACGTGTATGTATATCATGCTTGCTTTTTGCATTCAACTATTAATGTACAATTAGGTTGTGAATAATGCTGCTATGAGCAAGAAGTGCAGATATCTTCTTGAGATACTGATTTCACTTCTTTTGGATGTATTCAAGGGGCTGTATGATTAGAAACAAACACAGTGAATGCAGTTGCCAAGCACTGTCCACCAGAAAGATAGCATGGTAAATACACAACATTGTGCCCTCACCCACCTTATTCACAGGATCTGGCACCGTGCACCCTCTGGCTCTTCCCCAAAGTCAGAATGACCATGAAAGGTAAATGTTTTGAATCATTCAGGACATTGAGGCAGCCATGACAGGACAACTAAAGACACACCTGAAAGAGGACTTCCAGAGCTACTTCAGAAAGTGGCAAGAACAATGGGATAAGTATGTTTGAAACCTGGGGGAGTGTTTGAGGGTGGGTTAATGGCAACGTTTCTTTTACTATAATATATTTTTAATTTAAACATTCACTGTATTTTTCAGTTTCATGGCACACCCAAAAGTGAATTCCTGGATCCTATGGCAGCAGCAATTTTACCTTTTCTAACCTTTCCAGGAGCCTCCATTCTGATTTCCATAATGGCTTCAGTAACCTACATTCCCAGCAGGAGCCCACAAAGATTCCTTTTCCTCCACACCTTCACCAATACCTGGCAGCCCTTGCTCCCTTACTAACAGCCATTTACCAGGTAGGAGGCACTATCTCACTGTAGCTTTGATTTGCATTTCTCTGATGGTTAGTGATGTTGAGGCTGTTTTCATACATCTGTCAGCCATTTGTGCATCTCTTTAGAAAAATGTTTATTCGGGTCCTTTGCCTACCTCTAATAGAATTCTTTGTATTTTTGTTTTTCTTACTGTTTTACTATCAAGTTGTCCAAGCTCCCTGAATACTTGGCATACTTTGCTTCTGCCAGACACATGGTTCTGGAGTGTTTTCTTCCCTACCGTGGGTTATCTTTACATTTTGTTGATTGTTTCTTTTGCCATGCAAAGCCTTTTAATTTACAGTAGTCCACGGTAGTCCGCCTGTTTATTTTTGCTTTTGTGGCCCATGTTTTTGGCACCACATCCAAAATGTTGTGGCCAAGCCTCAGGTCAAGGAGTGTCTCTCATCTGCTTCCTTCCACTTCCTTCCGGGAGTTTTTGTTTCAGATCTTCCATTTCCGTCTTCAATCCGTTTTGAGCTAAGCTTCGTAAATGTGTAAGCCAAGCATCCAAGTTCACTCTTTCCCATGTGGAAATCCAATTGTCTCATCTGTGTTCATCAGTAGCTCTCATGTACAGGGGCAGAGGCAGGTGGTGGGCGCACTGGTTAGGGGCGAAGAGACCCCCCGCTTAGAGCCCAGTCCTTGCCTCCCTGACTGTGTGGCCTTAGCCTCTCTTGCCTCTCCCGCTCACCCTCCCTGCCTGTCTTACTCCTCTAACAGTCAAGTGCTTTGCTCACAAATCCTGGTCATCCTCCTAGTCTCAGTTCTTTCATAGTTCTGCACTAGGTAAAAGGGAATGGAGAGGTAAGTGTTTCCAGCTCTCTTATTCGAAAATCTGCATACAGTAAATAGAAATTTATTTGGAAATTTTATATCTCTCTTATCTTGTTGCCTAATTGAAACTTCAATTTTAACATCATGTTACACAAGACTGTTGGGCAGATAACAGGACTGCATCATATTCATTACTTTTTATAAGTTGAATCGTGCTAGGCAAATAGCACTCATTGTCTCCCTGAATGGCCACAGCAAGTCTTACAGCCAAGTAGCTGTGGTTATAAGCCCTGATTTACAGACAAGAAACTGAGGGTTGGAGGGACAAGGGACTTGCCCAAAGGCACACTGGGAAGTGGCAGGACAGGGAGGCCGCCTGAAGTGGCCGGAAGCCCAAGGCCCTGCTGTGCTGTTCAGACATAAACCCTCCCGCTGTGGCCGAATGTGCCCTGATTTTCATAGGTGGGACATTTCATCCCCAGGTCGTATGGTAATGGTATCTGGAGGTGGGACCTTTGGGAGGTGATTAAGATTAGGTAGGATCGTGGGGTTGGGGTCCCTCCCAGCGGGAATAGTGGCCTTGTAAGAGGAGGATGAGAGACTCTAATGCGCACAGTGGTTCTGTCTCACGTGTGGCGCCCTCTACCACCTTGGAGCCCCAGTGGGTCCCCCACAAGAAGGCTCTCACCACATGCAGTCCCTGACCTTGGACTTCCCGACCTCCTGACCCCTAAGAAACGAATTCCTTTTCTCTATAAATTACCCAGTCTGTGATATTTCGTTCCCGCTGCAGAGAATGAACTAAGGCACCTCCCTATTCAGAGGTTCTCCAGAAACAGTGAGGAGACTGCAGACCTCCGACATCTACCTGCTGCTCAGGGTAGGAGTGGCCACACCAGCACCTGCACCTGGTTCCCCGCCGCAGAGGCTGGTGACTCATCTGCCTCCGGGTTTGCATCCTGGGGACATGATGGCGTCAGCAGCCCCCTTCCATCCCCAGAAAATGAACTGAATCATTTGACCTCAGGACTTTCCTTTCAAGGAGCCCCGGACTCTCAAAGAGCCAGCAAACATAGCCACGTGTCTTAGGGTTTACACCTCTCCTGTTTGCCTCGCTTCCCTGAGTGTCCCTGAAGGCGCCTTCTGTGTCTCCCACCCGACCCCTAACCCTTCTCCCTCCTCCCGCCAGTGCACAGCTCCACTACCCTCCCTTGGTGCCTACACCACACATATCACTCATGGCAAACTCACATGTCCCTAACACAGATGAGAGACGTAATTCCCCAAGAATTCAAATGTAATTCAAAGTTATTTTCCAATATCTAATTTGCCTTGTACTAATTTAGGGCAGTATTTCAGCAGGAGCCTCCCAGCCAAAGTGCCAGGGTTGCTTTACAGAGCCAGACCCAACCTCAGCGGAAACCACAGGCCCGGGACACAGACACTGCCGATTTAAGAAGTAATTACAACATTGAACACGGCCTTAAATAAAAGCAAAAATGCAGGAGACAGGAGGGAAAACAGAAGCATACATTGGGAACTATGCCATTTTCCCCAGATGTTTTGTAATATTTGCAACCTGGCTGCATCTGACATGAGCTGAGCACCCACCCAGGAGGAGTGGGTGGCTCTGTCCTGGAAAGAGTGAGAAGAAAAATAAATAAATAGATTAATTAATTAATTAAAATTCAAAAAGCAGTGAGAAGAAATGCCTCAATATCAGAGATCATCCATCTGCCTGAATGCCTTTTTGTTTAATGCCCTTCTCCAGTGAGAACCCTCTTCTACTGGTCCTCAAGGAATGAATTAGTATACTATATCATGACAAGTAATGAAAGCCCAACCCAATATAAACTGATTAAACTAGAAAATAGTTATGTTTTGGGCTCATGAAAGACCACCAGTAGTTCTGGCTTCAGGCACAGTTGTATCCAGGTGCTTAACATCACAGCATGTAGAATCTCTCTGCATCTTACCTCTTGGCTTTGCCTTCCACAAAGTTGACTTCATTTTCAGCCAGGCTCTCAGCACCTAGTAGCTAAGATACAGTCCCAGAAACTGACATCCCACTAGCTTAACATTCCCACCAGAGAGATGATGATGTTTGTTCCACCATTCCAGCACAAATCCTAGTCGGCCTTCCATTGGTCCTTCTTGGGTCAGGTGTTGATCTTTGAATGGCTGTAGCCAGAGAATTTCAGTTCTCTGAAATTGGCCACGTCCAGGTCAGAGTTCCAGCTCTCGAGAACAGAGGGAGGATCAGTGCCACCCAGTGGGAGGCTGACAGCTGGCAAGAGGTGAGTCCCAAAAAAGAAAATCAAGGTTCTGACGAAAGCTGAAAGAACAATGGGACCCAGCACGGGGGACATACTGGTTTCTGCCCCAGGTGTGGGTGGTTCCTGTCCATCTTCCACACCTGTACCCTTTCCACATTGTCTCCAAACCCCCTGTCTGGATCTGTGCGTCCAGCCGAAGCTCTACACCCGCTGCCAGGAGCGTCACCGGCCTGTCCTGCTGAAACTCAAGCTGCGGGCTCCTCCCTCAGCTGTACTGGGTGTCTGTCACCTGCAACAGCCTGACAGAGGAAAGATGGCACTTTCTAACGCGGAAGCGTCACAGGCCTCTGGATATGCACAGAGCAAGTGGCTCAGCTCGTACCTCATGGCGGAGGGTGGATATCACCAGATCTCTCAATTGCCTGGTAATTGCTGCCTTGCTGTCCACTGTCAGGCCAAGGGGAGGCAGGAAGTTGTAGTTATGAGCCTTTGAGGTACCCAGACTGTGGCGCTCGTCCCAGACCAGCACCCCTGGGTCTGGTGTTCACCCCGGCAATGGCCACGTGGGCAGACTGGCAGAGCTTAGGATAGAAATTTAACTCTGGCCTAAATGTGCATCAGTCGTGGGCATGCTTAGCACCTAAGGTATCAGGTCAGCCTCTCTCGGCCAATTCTGAGGAAGTGGACCTAGCAGAACCACAGAACGGCATTCACAAGGCTGTGCAGAGCCTCACTTCAGTAGTGGCCGCTTTGGCCACAAGAAGCACTGGTGGACAAACCAGACTTCGATCCAAGCTGTGTCGGCCAGCAGTGGACACACAGATGCCATGTGTAGTTCTCACAGGACCCCTGTCAGTCCTCAGAGTGGTTGTCATGCCGTGAAGCCACCCCACGTACCTAGCCTCTGTGCATGCAATCACTTTCCTTCCCACTTCTCTGCCACACTGTGATGCAGCCACAGAGGCCCTCACCAGAGTCCAGACAGGTGGAGCCACCTGCCCTGGACATTCAGCTTCCAACACTATGAACTGAATACACATCACTTTTTGAGACAAGGTCTCACTAAATTGCTCAGCCTGGCCTCAAACTTACAATCCCCCTGCCTCAGCCTCCTGAGTAGAAGTTATAGGCATGGGTCACCACGCCCAGCTAGACTCTTTTCTTTAGAGAGCATTCAATGTCAGGTATTTTGCCTTAGCAATAGAGAATGGACTGACATATTCCTAAAGTCACACAATGGTAAAAACAAGAACTAGAACTCATGTTTCCTGTCTCCCTGTCTAGTGGGGATCGAACTCAGGACCTTGCACTTACAAGGCAAGAAGCTCCTGCTCCTCAGGGCTGGAAGGGGCTCATCCCCACCCCAGGCCCTCTGTCATCCCAGGCTCACTCTGCCTCTCCGGGACCCAGAGGCCAAAGGGGCCCCCGGCCACTGGGTCCACTCAGCAGGAGAGATGTCGTGGCTAAAATTGTGAGCAGCAAAGAATGGAGACCAAGAGAGCAGCTGGAAAGGGACAAGACAGGCAGGGAGAGGAGGGAAAGGGGAAGATAAACGGAAAGAGTAAGGGGCAGTAAAGAGAAAGCAGAAGGAAGAAAGGGCCTGGGTAGGACGAATGCGGGAGAGAGAGGAATGTGGGGCATAAGCACAGGTGACTTCTGTATGAAAGGAAAAGTTACATTACTCCATTTAAAAACTCAGCTCCTTATCTGCCATCCCTGTGCTAGACACTGCAAAATAAAGCAGAGGTGCTGGAGCATGTAAATAAACGGTTGTAAAATGATGGCTAACTGATGCTTGGATGTGGGGAACCGGCTCCCCTGAGACGTCAGGTGAGTCTTCGAAGAGCTGCCAGGTGCCAACAGCAGGGAGTCGTTTTCCATGTGGAGGAGGGGGAGGCCTTCCAGATGGAGGCCAGCACATGGAGAGACTCAGGACTCGGGACGGAGAGACCCAGAGCCCACCTTGGGAGCGGCAAGGGGCCAGTTAAAGCTGCAGCCAGACATGGGCAGCCCTAGACCACACTGGAAATTGGATTTTATCTTGAAGGCCGGGGTCTAAAGCTGTCATTGCAGGATCCCTGAGAGTTCAGGGTCCACATGGAGGGACTTTCGGTTCTTGGCAAGAACCTACTAAACTTCTGTGTGTTCACCAGATAATTAACTTTTCCTGGATCATTTCTCTGACAGCCAGCATCGAACCCATGTGATATGCGTGCTTGTGATATTTCAATTGTCTCAAAATAGGGGAAACATAAGGGGTACCCTGGGTGCGTAAATGATGTGCTGGTACAGACCAAGGCCAGTTGATCCATAGCTTGCAGTGCTGGTTAAAGGCCCTGAGTGTCCACACCACCCAACCCAATAAAGCAGAGGAGTTCTCAACAACCTGGGCCGGAGCAGCAATTCGCTTCAACTAAGTGGCAGATTGGTTTCAGCAAAACCAGATCTATCATATTAAATAGACAATGCTAATTTGAATTTTATTATTTCTATTGGTTTCATTTCTAATTTGGTTTAGGTTTATAGTTGTTTATGGGTTCTCTTATCCTTGACACTAAAACATAATTTTTTCATATTTTTCTTCTTTTTTTTTTTTTGGTACTGGGGATTGAACTCTGGGCCTTGAGCTTACAAGGCAGGTGCCGGAACCACTGAGCTAAATCCCCAGCCCAATTTTTCCATATTTTGACTATGACATTGGTATACTTTATAACATCTATAGCCTCTTGCAGTTACAATTGGCAGCACTTATTTCCTCTTAGTGCTACACTAAATAATAATGCATCTTACAATTGATGGCATTGTAAAACCAATGAAGCATAGTATGTGCAAAATGAGTTGAAACTTAGTCATGTTTGTCAATAAGTAACACTAATATTGGGCTGGGGATTTAGCTCAGTGGTTCCAGCACCTGCCTTGTAAGCTCAAGGTCCAGAGTTCAATCCCCAGTACCAAAAAAAAAACATTAATATTGAAAATAGTTAAGTAGTGGTCCATATGAATATGGTGGTCCATAGAATGTTTTTCATAAAAACAGTTTATTTACTAGCTGGAGTGTCTCTGGTGACAAAGAGGCAAGGAGATGCTTTATCACAGCAGTGATGCAGTCATATGTCCATATCAGACAGAACTCTAGCATGACGTTGGACAGAAACACAGAGGTTAGTTTTTGGGTAGATCAAGTGAGGATTGTGAGGATCCAAACAGGAAATAGAGGGAAGGAAGGCCATAGTTTAAGGAGATTCGTGGAAGGTAGACACAGTGGGATTTAGTGACCAGCTAGGTGTGTGAAGGTCAGTGTGTGTGGAGAGGGAAGAGCGGCAGATGGGGATCTGGGGATGATGCTGTTTCTGGGTGGGATGAGCGGCATCCTCAAGGTACAGAAAGGCAATGCAATTGAGCTGATATGGTGTGGCCATAGTGATCATTATAATGATCCCAGTGTTGAAACCACAGTGATGGCAGTGGTGGTGCTGGTGATGGTGGGAATGGTGTTGGGGTCAAGGTGGCCATGCTGGATATGAGGGAACTGGGGGTGGCGGCCATGATGGATATGAGGAAAGTGGGGGTGGTGGCCATGATGGATATGAGGGAAGTGGGGGTGGTGATCACGATGGATATGAGGGAAGTGGGGGGGTGGCCACGATGGATATGAGGGAAGTGGGGATGATGGCCATGATGGAAATGAGGGAAGTGGGGATGGTGGTCACGATGGATATGAGGGAAGTGGGGATGGTGATCACGATGGATATGAAGGAAGTGGGGGTGGTAGCCACGATGGGTATGAGGGAAGTGGGGATGGTGGCCACGATGGATATGAGGGAAGTGGGGATGGCCATGATGGATATGAGGGAAGTGGGGATGGCCATGATGGATATGAGGGAAGTGGGGATGG